CGGAGGCGTTCGTGCCGTTTCACTCATTTTTCCGTCCTTTTCACGCGTTTTGAATTTGGCGGTCGAATCCTGAGGCATCGGAGGGTGGCGCGGCGGAAAGAATCGGAACTGCGTGCAGGACGGCCGAGTCGGTGCGACACGTTTATGATGGACACCTCGCTGCATTCCGATCTATTGTCTCCGCTCCGTCTGCCCCCTCCCCTCCCCCCGCTGGAGACGCAGCCGAGGACCGGCAGCGCGCTCGGCCACTGGGGCAGCCCCAGAAGAAGGGCCAACAACAGGATTAGGCCGCGGACACTACCCGTTCATTTTGCACTATTGGGATAAATTTATATACCCCTGGCACCGCGATGAGACGAGGAAAACGGCTAAAACAAGTTTGATTTGATAAATTTGAAATTTCAGAAGTTCACCCGTTGCTGTGCCCATGCTGAGGGACACCTGTCAAGCTGTCTTTGTGCACTTTGACGAGGGTGCCTGTGCTCGCCTCGCCCGCACCGGCAACTACACTGCCAAATCAGGCGGCATTGACACAAAGATGATGCACAGTGAGGATAGGACTCTCTACCCCCAACGAGGACCTTTTAATTTTTTGGAAGTACTCGACTGTGGTGCCATCTCTCGGGAAAGTGCTACACTGCCTGAACTGCCTGAACGAAAATGGCAAGGAGTATTCGCATGAGAGGACTCCGGTCAATACAACGGTCTAAGTTCCTTAAGCCGTTGCTTGGACCCCGGTCCGCGATCTCGCACCTTAAATGTTAAAACAAGGTAGGTTTACGCCAGACCGCGTCTTGTCGTAACAGGCTTCGCGATGTCTCGCTGCCTGTTCCTCCAATCCACGCCTGGCGTACCTACCTTGGCATGCGGCGCTAGCCTGCCTGCGGCAGGCAATGGCTTGTCCGTTGTCGGTTATTTTTTAACTTGTTGAATGCTGGGGGGCTCCGCCCCCCAGACCCCCCTACATTGTAAATAGAGTTGTTTTATCTACAGATAACACGATCTTGACCCTTGTCACTTTTTAACTTGTCGAGGCTGGGGGGCTCCGCCCCCCAGACCCCCCTTTCTCCAAGACAGAAGTGGTCTATCTGCAGAAATCTCTATTTTTCGCCGTTTTTTAGGTGTTTTTCGCCTATAAAAACTGAACCAGTTAAGCTAGGATGGTGAAATTTCGCGTGTGCCGAGCCAAGGACATACCTAAGAAGTGTGCAAAATCTCACCGAGATCGGCCGAGCCGTTCAGGAGGAGTAGTGCGGACAGACAGACAGACAGACCGACAGACAGACAGACCGACAGACAGACAGACAGACAGACCGACAGACAGACAAAACTTTTCAACCCCACTGGAGTAACAGGCTTCGCTATCGCTCAGCCAATAACTCCACTTTTATAAAGTTCGGCCTGGAACGTACCTTGAACAAATTGCATCATTCCGGCCAAAACGACGGGTCGTTCAGAAGCGCGATGCCTGTCACAGACTCTACAAGGTAGGTTTACGCCAGACCGCGTCTTGTCGTAACAGGCTTCGCGATGTCTCGCTGCCTGTTCCTCAAATCCGCGCCTGGCGTACCTACCTTGGCCTACGGCGCTGGCTTGTCCATCGTCGGTTACTTCTAACTTGGTGCATGCTGGGGGGCTCCGCCCCCCAGACCCCCCTTCATTCTAGATCCCTTGTAACTTTTCAACTTGTCGGAGACCCCCCTTCTTCAAGACAGAAGTGATCTGCCTGCAGAAAACTCGATTTCTCGCCGTTTTTTAGGTGTTTTTCGGCTATAAAAACTGAACCAGTTGAGCTAGGATAGTGTAATTTCGCGTGTGCCGAGCCAAGGACATGCCCAAAAAGTGTGCAAAATCTCACCGAGATCGGCCGAGCCGTTCAGGAGGAGTAGTGCGGACAGACACACACACACACAGACAGACAGACAGACAGGAAAAACTTTTCAACCCCAATGGAGTAACAGGCTTCGCTATCGCTCAGCCAACTAATGTCACATAAGTTTTAGTAAGGACACAAACATCACAATCACATTTAAAACAAGGTAGGTTTACGCCAGACCGCGTCTTGTCGTAACAGGCTTCGCGATGTCTCGCTGCCTGTTCCTCCTATCCACGCCTGGCGTACCTACCTTGGCCTGCGGCGCTAGCCTGCCTGCGGCAGGCAATGGCTTGTCCGTTGTCGGTTATTTATTAACTTGTCTAATGCTGGGGGGCTCCGCCCCCCAGACCCCCCTACATTGTAAATAGAGTTGTTATATCTACAGATAACACGATCTTGACCCTTGTCACTTTTTAACTTGTCGAGGCTGGGGGGCTCCGCCCCCCAGACCCCCCTTTCTCCGAGACAGAAGTGGTCTATCTGCAGAAATCTCTATTTTTCGCCGTTTTTCAGGTGTTTTTCGCCTATAAAAACCCGAGAGAAAATTATTGGCTGAGCGATAGCGAAGCCCGTTACTCAGGTGGGGTTGAAAAGTTTTGTCTGTCTGTCTGTCTGTCTGTGTGTCTGTCTGTCTGTCAGCACTACTCCTCCTGAACGGCTCGGCCGATCTGGCTGAGATTTTGCACACTTTTTGGGTATGTCCTTGGCTCGGCACACGCGAAATTTCACTATCCTAGCTCAACTGGTTCAGCTTTTATAGCCGAAAAACACCTAAGAAACGGCGAAATCGAGTTTTCTGCCGGCAAATATCTTCTGCCTTGAAGAAAGGGGGGTCAGGGGGGCAGAGCCCCCCAGCCCCGGCAAGTTGAAAAGTAACAAGGGTCAAGATCGTGTTATCTGTGGATGAAGCAACTCTATCTGGAATGAAGGGGGGTCTGGGGGGCGGAGCCCCCCAGTATGCAACAATTTAGAAGTAACCGACGATGGGCAAGCCATGGCCTGCCGAAGGCAGGCTAGCGCCGCAGGCCAAGGTAGGTCCGCCAGGCGCGGATTGGAGGAACAGGCAGCGAGACATCGCGAAGCCTGTTACGACAAGACGCGGTCTGGCGTAAACCTACCTTGTAGGCTGCAGATTGGCTGCAGGCAGGCTCCCTCCAGGTTGCTTACAACGCGCGGATGGAACTCGGATGGCTGCAGACATTGGCTGTATTCGGACATACGTCAGCCAAAATACAGCCATCCGCAGCCGGTGCAGCGTCTGTGGCTGCACCTGCCAGCCACTGAAGTGTCCCTTTGGAGCCCAGTCAGCGCTGCCCCCGCTGCTCTAGGCTGGCCCCGTAGCCTTCAGGATGCGCCAGACAGCCTTCCTTCGCGAGCCACGCTGCCCCCAGCAGCCACGAGGCTGCGAGGCACTGCTCTAGACTGCACCCCGCAGCCTTCAGGATGCCCTAGGCAGCCTTCCTTCGCCCGGGCCACGCTGTCCCCGGAAGCCTGGAGGCTGTAAGGCGCTGCTGTAGGCTGCACCCCGCAGCCTTCAGGATGCTCCGGGCAGCCTTCTTTCGCCCGGCCCACGCTGCCCCCGGCAGCTATGAAGCTGCGGGTCAGAGCCACATCTCGGCCGCATCCTGCAGCCTCGTGGATGCCATCGGCAGCATCCATATCGCTCCTAGGCTTCACTCCTTAGTTCATGAAGGTCCCCATGAGGACCTTTGAGGGTCCCTGTTACGCCCTTTGAAGTTCTATGGAGCCCTTTGAAGATTTTCTAGGGTCAGAACACCGTTCCGGATCCAAATCTGCTAAGTAATTTCATGTAGGACTTACCGTTCCCGAGATATCAAAGATAGCAAAAAAGTTTCCCGATTTTTACGAAACTTGCATGGCTTATGTATGTTAACGTATTCAACTCAAATATCAGCATACCACGCACCCATTCTATTTTTTTCTATTTTTTATAGCCCTTTTATCAAGGAATACGACCGTTGCCTGAATACCGCCAGCATCCACCACGCTGCAATCCGTAGCCTACAGCCATTGCAGCCTACATGGCTGTTCAGTCCTGCCGTAGCCCGGCTGCATCCGGCAGCCAACACGCTGCGACGCGCAGCCTACAGCCATTGCAGCCTGCGTGGCTGTAAAGTGCAGCCGCGGCCAGGCTGCCGCTAGCAGCCAGCACGCTGCGACGCGCAGTGCGCAGCCTACAGCCATTGCAGCCCGCGTGGCTGTAAAATCCAGCCGCGGCCCGGCTGGCGCCAGCAGCCAACACGCTGCGACGCGCAGCCTACAGCCGTGGCAGCCTACATGGCTGTAACGTCTAGCCACGGCCCGGCTGGCGCCAGCAGCCAACACGCTGCGACGCGCAGCCTACAGCCGTGGCAGCCTACATGGCTGTAACGTCTAGCCACGGCCCGGCTGGCGCCAGCAGCCAACACGCTGCGACGCGCAGCCTACAGCCGTGGCAGCCTACATGGCTGTAACGTCTAGCCACGGCCCGGCTGGCGCCAGCAGCCAACACGCTGCGACGCGCAGCCTACAGCCGTGGCAGCCTACATGGCTGTAACGTCTAGCCACGGCCCGGCTGGCGCCAGCAGCCAACACGCTGCGACGCGCAGCCTACAGCCATTGCAGCTAAGTTGGCTGTGCGTGGCAGCGTTTATAGGCTGCTTAGGGCAGCCAAAAGGCTTCTGTGCGCAGCTTCTGAAACGTTTCACAGCCAAAGCGCTCCGTGAAACAGCCAGACCAGCCACTGCAGCGTGGATGGCTGGAAGTCCAGGACGTCGCTATGGCTGGAAGTCCAGGACGTCGCTATGGCTGCGACATGGCTGCAACGCAGCCACGGCAGCCATGCATACAGCCAAAAAACGCTCCATACAGCCATGCGTCAGCCGTGCGTCAGCCTTTCTGCAGCCTTCTATTTTTACTCGGGAACTGAACCAGTTGAGCTAGGATGGTGAAATTTCGCGTGTGCCGAGCCAAGGACATACCTAAGAAGTGTGCAAAATCTCACCGAGATCGGCCGAGCCGTTCAGGAGGAGTAGTGCGGACAGACAGACCGACAGACAGACAGACAGACAAAACTTTTCAACCCCACTGGAGTAACAGGCTTCGCTATCGCTCAGCCAAAAACGTCTAAACAACTTGACTGCAAATGTCACAATCACTTAAAAAAACGTCTAAACGACAAGTCTGAGATTTACTTTTCCTTCAAATTACGACGATACTCTTTCAATTTTTCGTCACTGGTCTGAAAACAAAAAACAGAACACATTACACTGTAATAAATACCGTACCCAACAACGGTCTAAGACACGGTAAACCTGACACGTAACACTGTAGTACAGGAACGTACCACAAATATACCGTATTTGTTTGCCACGGAACAGATTATCATGTATGGCCCACAGTATATTTCCGTATCAATTTCCGTAGTAAAATGAGTCCAATGAAAAACAAGTGAGAACTTCGTTGGATATGCTACAAATATACGGTATTTGTTTGCCACGGAACAGATTATCAAGTATTGCCTACGGTATATTTCCGTACCAATATCCGTAAGAAACTGAGTAATGTGTCTATGAAGAAAATAACTCATGGTAAAATGATACCAGTTTCAAGGCTAAAATCTGCTGTAAACACAATTATTCTCAGTGACCTAAACCAGCTGTTCTCTTAAAACAAACAATTACTTCTGCCTCACCTCAAATGCGTTTCCTCACGGCAAGTGAATGTTGTAATATTACAACTGTGACATCTCAGTAAAGTCCAACACCATGCTGAAATGAATGTCTGAATCATCTTCTAACAGACTTGATGCATCCTTGGGCCACACACTTTCTATTGACCAGGTTTCTTGTTTCACCATGCGACAAGCAAAGACTGAATGCTACCAATACGACGTTCATCACTAGAATCAGGAAACGCGGCGTGCTACTCGCGACAAGTTCTAAATCATCGATAAAATGTCTTGAAACATCGTTGCCGATTTCCACCGAACCTCTCCGTGGCAGCCATATTCGGTACTTGCACTGTACTTTTGTTTGTTTACGGAAGACTTGAAGACATGAGAAATATACGCTGTGGTTGAGGTCCTGGAGCTCATCCGCAGCGTATATTTCTCATGCAAACCACCTTACTTCCTGTTTTCTTCTTCTTGAACAATATCTGAATCTGAATAAGTATTAAGAGAAGTACCCTGTTGCTGTGGGCGTGTGTGTGTCTGTAGAATGTTTGTTTACATTTTTGGAGTTCATTATGTGCACTTTGCCGTGCTTAAGTAAACGTTAACGTTCGGCACACCTTGTGTTTTTTGTGGATGAATCCAATATTCTCCCTACCGATCCGAGCCTGCGTGACTTTGTCGTGCTTTCTTTTTGGTCGCGACTAACCCTAACCTCTCAATCTTGCCATTTCGGTGCAATGATTCGCTTTGCTGATTACTGAAACTTACAACACCTTTCGGACAGTCGAGGCATGTGTTTAACTCCCTCTTCTCTGTCACTAGGTTTCGTGAATTCTGAATTGGATTTGACGGCTACTCTGTGCTGGTCTACTCAAAGGCCTGCATCTCACCTTGGAACTCCATTGTTACTTCACTTCTTAAGTCTTGCTTTCTGACTTCAGTAATTCAGGCAGAGTTGACAGTGTAAGTAAAACACTTTTTAGTTTTCTCCTATTTCCCTTTTCTCTCTGCTGCAAACCTTGTTAGCACTAATTTTCTACTTTCAGTTGACAGGATCAAGATTGGACTACTTGGCAAGGATCGTGCACCACCTTGTTTGGGGGAAACGGGTGGAATGAAAAACTTTGGTCCTTGCATCAAGCAGCTGTAAATATTCACAGGTATTATTGCTATGATGATTTGCATAATGTATTTATTATGGATGAACTACAATTGTTTAACAATTCAGCAATTTTTAACATTTTGGCTTCAACTCTAACTTTAAAATGAGTCAACAATTTAAGTTCAAAACTCTTTTCTCATTGTAGATTAATAACGAATTAGCAATTTATAACATTTTTGTTTGTATTCTTACTTCACAATGAATTTTATACATACATATGAGGTATATACAATACATTCTTATTCTGATTGTATGTCTGTCTCAAAAGCTTTTAAATCATTGATAGTGGTGCGCACCAATGGAGTGAGAACAAGAAGGGCTTTCCCCTTCTTGTTCTTTACTCGTGTTGTGGACAGGCCCATTCCATAGACAAACCTATAAAAAATGAAGCAGTGCGTTACATCACTTCAGCATAGACATTTTATCTTTCTTTAATTCCAAAATTCTTACCTCTCCAGAAATTCAAAAGTAAGAGGCATTTTAGGGTAATCAAGGTCCAATACAAATGCCAGCTGCACTAAGCTTGTTATCGCTTCCTGAGCGCAACTCACTTCCAGCAATATTATTTCATCTGCACATACGAGAAACTGCTCTGCAGCAAATGGTTCATTATCTGCCAAATAAAGAAGTCAAGTTGAGTTTTTTGTTTCTTAAAAAAAAAATCTTTATAGAAATTAAGTTGAAACATAGTATTATTATGTTACCTCGGGCAATAATACAGATGTCTGCAAGTTCCTTTGTATCGATATCACTGGCAGGAGCTGTTCTCTGAAATGACAAAAGCATCATGCAATTGATAAAGTCAAAATGTTAAGTTTAACAATGTGTTAGTATTTGTTTCAATACCTCTGCACTGTGCACAAAACTGTATTTTTCCTCTCCAAAATGATTGGCAATCATAGTTACAGCCTTTAAAAATTTCTGGGGCAAACTCCAATTTGCAATTTTTTTGTCTAATTTCAGGTTTAAAGCCATATTTTTCTTGTTGGCCTTTGAACAAGAAGTTAGAAAGTGAAGAGTGTACTCCAAGTGATTCTCCAAAAAATCATCAAGGTGGGGTTGAAGGTCTCTTCCAGTAAGTCTATTGTGGTGGTCTGTCAGGCATGAAGTGTAGAAAAGAAATGGCCACAAGTTCATGAGCTCGGAAAGAGCTTTTACAGGAGGGTCTTCTGATTCGGTTTCTTCATTCTCTTTGTTATTAATTGCTTGTTCGATAGCTACTTTTGCTGAGGCTATATCATTTCTCTGCAGCTCATAGGAATTTAACATTTTTTCTCTGATTTCATCCCAGCACCAAGTGTCACCGTCTTCATTGTAAAGAACTTGCAGCTCTGCCCTGATGGCTTCTTGCTCCTCTCTTGCATTACCATCAAGGTTGGGCAGGTACTGAGCTTCCAGAACTCCAATTATTCCTGTTGCTCGCATAGCATCTGGAATAGCTTTGGGGGCGTTCTTCTCACGCATTTGGTTTTCTGTACAAACCAAAATGGCCCGTTGGAAACTTGCCATTCCATTCCCAACCTGTTTGCCATTAACTACATCTGCTAAGGTGTAGGGGAATTTTTCAAAAACCTAAAACAAACAGAAAACAAAAAACATTGATAGTAGTATGTGTTGTGATGTGTCAAACTTTCTTTTATAGGTCAACACGACACACTCAAGTCATACCTGATTTGTTATCGATTCATATATTTTCGACCCTGGGTGCTTTTTTAGTCCTGGATGACTATCTTTGTAGTCCGTGTATGAACTAACGAGCTTCTTTACAATTGCAAGCTTTAAAATGTCTATGTCATTTTGATTGGCCCTCACTTTGTTCCGCTCATTCATTGAAAGTTTGTCCAGTGTTTCCTTAGGAAGTGACGTCCAGGGCACAGGGAACGTGTAGCCTCCGCTGCCCAGGATCTGTCGCACTGGTGTTAGGGACTGCAGTGGCGCTGCAAACATACACAACAAGAAGAGTTTAAATGAAAATACTTAAAATGCTAAAAATGCATGATGAAGAAAATGTGTTTTAAAAGTAACATCTGACAATAGTCTGCAAGTTTATTAACAACAACTGCAGTTATGTATGCATAAGACCTTAAAAATTGGACAAACATTTTCCTTTTTCAGTATGTTTTCTTTCAACAAAATTGGTATTAGACCTTTGTTCAGTGGTTCCCGTAACTGTTGCGCTCATGGAGCTCATCAATAATCAAAACAAGTTGGCCCTAATGTGGGTTGCACAGCAACTCCCTCCTCCCCCTACCCCTCTCCATCCCCCTCCCCCCTTTCCAGCAAGTGATTTGCCAGGTCTCAGTGCATGGTTTCTGTAGACAGCATCTAGAGAAAGTGCACTCATTCACTGATTTCATATTAGAATTTGTACTTCATAGATAAAAAAAATTTACTGTTTGTTTCAGGTTGACGCCTCTTTGGAGCCTTCCCTACCTTGGAGTCCACCAGACCTTCCAGCTGCTGAGCTAGCACCCGCTGAGCTGCCACCCGAACCCGAGCTTGAACCAGGACTTGTGAAATACTTGAGGAGTTGGGCTGCTTTGATGGGCTTGAGGCCGAGAGACGGTGGCAGCATGTCCGGCTGCAGGAACTCTAAGTCTTCCATGCAAGTCGCCCCCACCTCATCAGACAACAGATGCTGAACAATTCTGGTAATAACATTGGGTTCCATGTTGCTGAGAACCATCTTCACTATGCCCGTCACTTCCTCTTCAAACTGCCCCAAGAAAGAAATAATTAGTTTTTTTAGTGGAGCCAACTATCTCATATTCGTATCTCTTTCACTCACCGAGAGTCTTAGTCGTTTGTTCGACATCTTTTCGTCTAATCCTTTGATTTGAGTCGAATTTAAAAGCTGCTCGCCGCGATTTTTCGAACGGTGAACCGTCACGTTATTCGAGCTGCTCGCCGCGATTTTTCAAACGGTGAACCGTCACGTCATTCGGCTGTTGAAAAGGTGTACCAACACTTGAACAAAATAATCATGTCGTGAGTCGTTCCCTTTTTTTCTGACAGAAACTTAAATTGATCCTTTTCAGTGAATATATGTTTGAATACTGAAATAGTACACATTAAATGTAACATAGTCTGAAATACTTTTTCTCGGTGTCTGTCTAAATCTGTAGAAGTTGGCGGCTTGTCTTTCAACTTTTCCCCCCCTCCCCTCTTCCGCGTTTCGCTGTGCGCCGTGTTTTGTTTCTTTTGATTCGCGTTGCTTTTTGTGATACGTGACATTTCTTTCTCTAAATGTTAATTGTTGGGACGTGCTCTTCCCTTTAGATTTTATTGTAAGCATTAAAAAAAAAATTGCTAAGATTGTGTGTCCAGCAACGCGCACTCAGACGTAAGGCACCTTTGTGTTGACTACTTTGGACAAGCAGTGGACTGAGGGAGGCTATCTACTTTTTCCCTGTCTCAAACTCAGAACTAATTTTTCTATAAGAAAGTTCCTTTTAAAAAAGTAAATAAATAAATGAATTTGTTAACTTATCTTAATGTTGGAAGCTTTCCACTAACCTAACGGTCTTTCCTTGATATTATTTAGTTGAGTAAAATTTGGAGTTCCTAGTTGTGTTGGCATTTCAAACTTCAGGCCTCTTTCTGTCCAGTCAGCAATAGACTAAATTTTGTTTTGCTTTGTTAACAGAGTCACCTAGCATCAATACCTTTGCAGTCTGTTGCCCGTGGAGTTTATCTTGAGTCCTGTGGCGGGACTTCCATTGTGTGAGCAGTGACTTTGAAGCTGAAACGACTGCATATATTTAATTGGGGTCTTTCTTTTCTCTTTTGAACATAGGTAAGTTCATCGTCCTGTGTCACTGATACTTTGTTATTACATTTCTTTGTCTAGTTCATAATTCAATGTGATGGTTTTTTTTTATAGATACCAAAGAAAGGAAACTGGATGAAACAAAATGAAAATAACTTACGCATGTTGACTCCAATTGTTGCAGCAAGAAGTCTCATCATTCCTTTTTCTGTGTTTCATTTCTGTTAGAGTCTGTGGGATCAATCACTAAGCATTGCTGCAATATCACTTGATTATCCGTCAGTAACTTGGTTTCATTGTAAATTGTTCAATTCTGTCATGTTTTATATTATGATTTTTACATTTTTTTCTTTTACTTTTAGATCATGGGGATAACATTGGATGAACACCGCTGCCGCATTGGCCTTTTTACTCACTCGGCAGGAAAAGTTTCTTCTTCTGCCAATTCTTGTCAGAACCGTGGTTTCCCACTGTCTCTGAAACTTGTGCCGTTTGCGACTCTGCTTCTACTGCTTGTCATAGCTGGGGTCGAGGTTAACCCTGGCCCTGGCCATGGCCAACTCCTACCATGCAAATATTGCAAGCTTACCTTCAGCTCTGTATCAAGTTACTGCAACCACATGAAAGTCCACAAGATGATCAAGAAGTTACGAATTCCCTGCTGCTTTTGTGATCGTGAAATGAAGCTGGGATCATTCGAGAGCCACATTACAAGATTCCATCGTAGTATTAGATCCAGGCCTCAAGTTCAACAAATCGAATCAGTTCATTGTCCTTCTTGTAAAGTGGAACTGAAAACTAAATCAGGCTACTCTAATCATATGATAAGCCACATCAAGTCTGGGACAGAAATCCAATGTGTTCTTAATAGTTGTGGATTGAAGTACACGGATTTCAGGAAATTTCAGAAGCATATGTCCCGATACCATTCTAAAGCAGGAAATAGTGGTTTTGTTCAGCCAGCAGCGTTGTCAATATCTGAAGCAGGTTTTCCACCAGATGTTCAATCAGATGATAGTGAAAATGAAGGGGCTGATGACATGGAAGATGTTTTCTATGATTGTACTTCAGGTGGTGCAGGTGCTGACAATGAGGACCCATATCCAGAATATGTCATCAAAGATGAGTTAGCCAGATTCTATCTTAGATTAGAAGGTGAACTTGTTGTGCCTTCTACAACTGTTCAAATAATTTCTGATGAAATCAAACTAATATCAGAACTATCTCACCATCGTTTGAAAATTGGTCTGAGGCAACAGCTCCAAGCAGCCAATCTTGATGAGTCAACAATCTCATTCATAGTGAAAACGACATTCAAGTGTGACCCCGTTTTCAATGTTCACCACAAAAATGAAGATATTGAGCAGCTCTGCACGGACTATCTTAGAAGACAGTACTGGCAAAAACGATTCCCTTACATAGATCCTAAGCCTCACTACTTCGGCACCAATGCAGCAGGAAAAAAGAGGGTAGCCCATTTTGTGTCAATCAGAGACACTCTGAAAATCTTGTTGAAGGATCCAAAGGTAAAGGACATGCTGTTAAAGTCTTTTCAGAAAGAAATCAATGAAACCTCAATTCTTAAAGACTTTTGTGATGGTGAAGCTTATATCAAACACAGATGTGGACACTCTGATGGAAAATGCATTCATTTGTTATTGTTTCAAGATGCATTTGAATTTAATGCATTTGGACCATCAGCTTCTTTTTTTAAAACTCTTGGTTTCTATTATCTAGTTGGCAATCTAGATCCAGAATTTCGTTCGAAAGTGGATGTGAATCAGCTTGCAGGCTTGGTTTTGGAGAAAGATACAGTTCCAACTGTAGAGGAGGAGTTAGAATGCAAAGATATACTGAAAGAAGCTATAAAACCCCTTTTGGATGAACTTGAAGACTTGAAGAAGAATGGAATTGATGTGGATGGAGAAACTATTCCTGTTTGCTTGTTGTTTCTTATTGGGGATAATCTAGGACAGCATATATTTGGAGGATATGTGAAAAACTTCACATGTGACTTCTTTTGTCGATTTTGTACTATCTCAAAGGCTGAATTCCTTTCCAATCCAAGTGAAGTAAAAGCTCTCAGAACACCCGAGGAGTATGATAATGCTGTTGCCACTGCAAGACTGAAGTGGGAGCAAAAGCGGAAACAGTATTTAATCGCAGTCAAGAAAGCAACCCGGAGGAAAGCCAAGAAGCGAGCAGGAAAAGTCACAGCACGGATGTCTGCCCCTGCTTTGAAGAAATTAATGACAGTCGGCATAGCTAAAGATGCTTACAAAAAAATGTGTGCTGTCAATTTTAGAGCAGTAAAATATCGAGCATCTCCTTTCAACTCTACTGTAACTGGTTTCCATGTCTCATCACCAGCCATGCCACCATGCATTGCCCATGACATTTTTGAAGGTATTTTGAGATGTGTTTTGCCTAGGGTCATGCAATATTTCATTAATGAAAAAGAGTGGTTTGACCTGCCCACCTTGAACAGGCGAATTAGGGGCTTCAAGTGCAAAGGCTCAGATAAACGGGACGCTCCTCAACCTTACAAGTCTCTTGATAAACTTACAGGAAATGCTGTTCAAAACTGGAACCACTTGAGACTTTTACCCCTGATCCTTGGAGACTTGATTCAGGATCCTCAAGATGAAGTATGGCAAGTTGTTTTAAACTTAAAAGAAATTGTTGAGTATATCTGTGCCCCTAAAATCTCCATGGCACAAGTGGCATATTTAAAACAACTCATAAGAAGATTCATCAATTCCTTGCTACGATTAGAAAAGTTCTTCCCTAAGTGTTTGATTCCAAAAGTTCATTTTTTGGCACATATGGCTGACTTAATCTGTATATTCGGGCCATTAATGAGATTGTTTACTCTCAGATTTGAGAGCACCCACAAGTTTTTCAAAACTGTTGTTCGGAATTGTAGAAATTACATTAACATCACCAAAATGATGGCAAAGAAATTTATGCTGAGATTTGCTTCTATTCAAGCTGGAGATGGATTTCCCGCTGACATAATTTATGATCCGACTTCATCCTGCTGTGTTAATTTGAAGACTTTACCTGAAGGGAAAAGAATTGCATTTCCAAACATGTTTGATCCATCTGAATATGAAGCATTGACTTCAATTATTGTTAAAGGGACTGAGTACAAGAAAGGATTTTATTTGGTACTCAGGTCAACAATGGATTCAACATCATTGACAGTTGGCCTTATCGATTTAATCTTGCTTGACTCTTCAAATAATGTTTCTTTTTTAATGGAAGTTAAAGAAGCTAATGACAGTTTTAAAGGGTTCTATGAGCTTGAGAAATCTTCCAGCACCAAGTACAAACTACTTCCTTATGAAAGTATCATAGACTTCTATCCTTTACCATCATACACTGTCTGCGGCATTGAGTGCTTAACATTAAAACACTCAATTTGTGGTGATGACAATTAGTATTGTTCTCTTACAGTGATTTTATAAACATACAGGTAAGAATAATCAGCAGGATTTTTCAGCTGTTTTTTGTTTGTTTGTTTAACGTTGTGATTATTGAAAGAAGTTTCATTTACTTGCAGTTTCATTCATTGAAATTGAATACTTCTGTACGTTATGCTCCAAATGAATTGTCTTTATTTTGCAACTTCCATCCCTCAGCCAAAGAGAAGGTAATAGTTTCATTTTGTAAGAAACAAATATCATTTTAATTATCAATTGTACTCTATAATGTGCCAATAATGTGCTAATATAAATTTTCTTTATTGCATCAGGTACTTATAATTATTCTATGTACGAATCAAAAATGTTAATTTTTAATTCCATTCAAATTTGAGGTCTCAGAACAAAGGCGCTCAAAAATGTGTAAGCCAAAATACGTCCTGCAATGATCTAAGTTGTCCTACTTTGTTTGTTGTTTTTTTTTTTAACTTTTTTCTTTTACTCTAGGTGGCTTGATAGTATTATTTAAAAAAAGATGGGGGTCATTTTAATTTTGGGAAGACAAAAGATTTTTTCAATAACTAATATTCAGTAAAAGCAACCACAAGTCTCCAGCAGCTTCAGTTACTAAGGTGAGTCTTTTCTCATTAAGATAAAATCATCCTACATTTAGTTGCTAACTGTGTGTTTCTTCTCTAAACAGGATTCTTCGGGTATAGACATTATTGCCTGGGAAACTCTGAATGTGGAGAGGACTCTCTACCTGCTTGCTGCATACGCTGGCTTAAGCAAGGCACTGACAGGTATGTAAAACAAAATATATCTAGCAAGTTTCTATGTATGTTGACTTTTATTTATGTATGATATTTTTTTTGGTTCTCTTTGCTTAGATGGTTTTATATAATTGACAAATGAATCCAAGCCAGTAATTTCATTTTCTTTTCTTAAGTAAACATTTAAAAAAATTTGTAATCAAATGATATTTATGAATAACAAGCACAGATCTCCATCACCCTATAGTAGCTTTGGTATGACTCATGTTATTTACATGTAATACAGTATGTCTACAAATAGTCGCTAACTTCAGTTTCTTTTCTGACCAGAATTTGTAGACAACACGACTGTATGCAATGTCACCGGGGGGAACTTGGAATGGGAAAAGGAATTTCCAGCCTATTCGCTGCATATGCTGGCGTGTTCGAGTCTTGCATCAGAAGTGCTGAGTGGTACGTTACTTCAAATGTTTGTAACTAATTTGTACTTTAGTTGTGTAATTAATTTCTATTGTTCTTTTCCTTCTAGGTGCTTTCATAGTATTATCATAAGAAAACCAGACTAGTGTTTTACATAGTCTCTGTAATTTTGGGAGCAGGAAGTACTTGTGAATTGATGAGTCTTAAGGTGCACAGTGCACATGCCAAGCAGCTTCAGTAACTTGGGTGAGTCTTCTCTCATTAAGATACAATCATACTACATTTAGTTCCTAATTGTGTGTTTCTTCTCTAGACAGGATTTATTACCTGGTTAACTTGGACTGTGGACTTAGACTCTAAAATTTTGGGAGAAGAAAATATTTCTTTGTTAAGTCTTAAGGAACAGCTAGCACTGATCTCTGTCACCTTTAGAAGCTGTGGTGAGTCTCATGTTATTTAGATTTCATTGGTCAACATATAGTTGCTAAGTCTAGTTTCTTTTCTCAACAGAGTTTGTTGGCAATTTGTTGGAGTCTTGCATCAGAGGCCTGAATGGTAAGTTAATTCAATTGTATGTAACTCTTTTATTATTTGGTTGTATGATTAATTTCTATCGTTCCTTTTCCTTGTAGGTGCATCCATTGTATTATCATAAGAAAACAAGGACTGTGTTTTACATGGTCTCTTTAATTTTGGGAGGAGAAAATACTTGTGAATTGATGAGTCTTTAGTAATAGCAGGTGCACATACCTCCAGCTGCTTCAGTTACTTAGGTGAGTCTTTTCTCATTAAGATACAATCATACTACATTTGGTGCCTAACTGTGTGTTTCTTCTCTAGACAGTATTTATAACCTGGTTAACTCGGACTGAGGGAAGGACTCTCCAGTCTGCTTGCTGTATATGCTGGCTTCGTGGAGTCCCACAGCAGGAAGCACTCAAAGGTTTGTCAAACAAAATATATTTGACAAGTGTCTATGTGTGTTGACTTTTATTTATGTACAACATTTTTTTTTTGTTCTTGCTCCTAGGTGGTTTTATATAATTGACAAGTGAATGCAAGCCAGTAATTTCAATTTTCTTTTCTACAATTAAAATACGATAAAATTTGTATTCAAATGATATGCATGGATGGCAAGCACAGATCTCCATCAGCTTCAGTAGCCTTGGTAAGACTCATCTTATTTACATGTAATAAGTCTACATATAGTTGCTAACGCTAGTTTCTTTCCTGAACAGAATTTGTTGGCAACATTGCATTAAGCAATGTCGCATGGAGAACTCGGAGTGGAAAAAGGAATTTCCAGCCTCCTCACTGCACACGCTGGCTTGATCGAGTTTTGCATTGGAGCTGCTGAATGGTATGTTAATTCAAATGAATCTAACTATTTCATACTTTGGTTGTATGATTAATTTCTATTGTCCTTTTTCTATCTAGGTGTTTTCTAAGTATTATCATAAAAAAACCAGCCCAGTGTTTTACATAATAATTTTCATTTTGGGAGCAGAAAATATTTGTGAAATGATAAGTCTGTAGAAGTAGCATGAGAACTTGGAGCGTGAAAAGGAATTTCCAGCCTGTTCGCTTCATACACAGACTCGTTCAAGTCTTGCATCAAAGACCCTGCATGGTATGTTTATTCAAATGTTTTTAACCCTTTTATTCTTTGGTTGTACGATTAATTTCTTTTCTTCTTTTGCTCTCTAGGTGCAATTATAGTATTATCTTAACAAATCCAGACCAGTCTTTTGCGTAGTCTCTTTTATTTGAGGAGCAGATAATATTTGTGAATTGATAAGTCTACAGAAGTACCATGTGAACTTGGAGGGTGAAAAGGAATTTCCAGCCTGTTCGCTGCATACCCTGGCCTGTTCGATTCTTGCATCAAATGCCCTGAATGGTAAGTTAATTCAATTGTATGTAACTCTTTTATTATTTGGTTGTATGATTAATTTCTATCGTTCCTTTTCCTTGTAGGTGCATCCATTGTATTATCATAAGAAAACAAGGACTGTGTTTTACATGGTCTCTTTAATTTTGGGAGGAGAAAATACTTGTGAATTGATGAGTCTTTAGTAATAGCAGGTACACATACCTCCAGCTGCTTCAGTTACTTAGGTGAGTCTTTTCTCATTAAGATACAATCATACTACATTTGGTGCCTAACTGTGTGTTTCTTCTCTAGACAGTATTTATAACCTGGTTAACCTAGACTGAGGGAAGGACTCTCCAGTCTGCTTGCTGTATATGCTGGCTTCGTGGAGTCCCACAGCAGGAAGCACTCAAAGGTTTGTCAAACAAAATATATTTGACAAGTGTCTATGTGTGTTGACTTTTATTTATGTACAACATTTTTTTTTTGTTCTTGCTCCTAGGTGGTTTTATATAATTGACAAGTGAATGCAAGCCAGTAATTTCAATTTTCTTTTCTACAATTAAAATACGATAAAATTTGTATTCAAATGATATGCATGGATGGCAAGCACAGATCTCCATCAGCTTCAGTAGCCTTGGTAAGACTCATCTTATTTACATGTAATAAGTCTACATATAGTTGCTAACGCTAGTTTCTTTCCTGAACAGAATTTGTTGGCAACATTGCAATAAGCAATGTCACATGGAGAACTCGGAGTGGAAAAAGGAATTTCCAGCCTCCTCACTGCACACGCTGGCTTGATCGAGTTTTGCATTGGAGCTGCTGAATGGTATGTTAATTCAAATGAATCTAACTATTTCATACTTTGGTTGTATGATTAATTTCTATTGTCCTTTTTCTATCTAGGTGTTTTCTAAGTATTATCATATAAAAACCAGCCCAGTGTTTTACATAATAATTTTCATTTTGGGAGCAGAAAATATTTGTGAAATAAGTCTGCAGAAGTAGCATGAGAACTTGGAGCGTGAAAAGGAATTTCTAGCCTGTTCCCTGCATACCCTGGCTTGTTCACATCTTGCATCAAAGGCCCTGAATGGTGTGTTAATTCAATTGTATCTAACTCTTATAGTCTTTGGTTGTATGATTTATTTCTATTTTTTCTTTTCCTTCTAGGTGCCTTTATTGTATTATCATAAAGAAACCAAACCTGTGTTTTATATAGTCTCTTTAATTTTGTGAGGAGAAAATACTTGTGAATTGATGAGTCCACAGAAATAGCAAGCACAGATCTCCATCACCTTTCGTAGCTGTGGTAAGTCTTATCTTATGAAGATGTGATTAGTCTATGTATTGTTGCTAACTTAAGTTTTTTCTCTGAACAGAATTTGTTGGGAGCATGACAGCCTGCAATGTCACCTGGAGAACCAGGCATTCAACTTAAAATTTGGTATGTATTCATGTGGAGATTAGGAGGTATTGAATGCCTCAGTCTTTGATTCTTTTCAAATATTTATTTTTCTTGCAGGGAGTCAACACATGAAAGGTAGCCTTTGAAGTGTTACTTCTTTCTTGAAGTATTCTTGAATTATAGTCAAAATGATCAATTATTCTGGATATGCCTGGTAGAAGAGGACTTCTGTTAGGTTTTAACTTTGAAGGTATGTGAGGTATCTATCAAGTTAATTTATTTGTTACTGAGATGTCTTTTTTTTTTTGTTTTTACATCCTTTTTTATTTGGCAGCATACAAGCAGATGGCAGTTGAAGGCAACTTTGCAGTTATTGAAGCAAGAAAGCAGCGGCGTTCCTTGAGGTGAAGCGATGTGGGCATGCATCTGGGCTGGTGCTGGTGAATCGAAGGAGGTGCAGCGAAAGGACAAGACCAAAGCAAGAAGCAATCATCAGCCATGCTGCAACGTACCTGTCAAGCAAAAGCATTTCAATTAATGTACTAGTTGTTAGTGTTGCTCTGCATTTGTTTGCCCTGTGAATAGACATGATAGTAGAGAAACATGTACCAAACAAGCATTTAGGTATGATGCTTTGATAAATACATATTCATTCATGCATGCATTTTACATTTTATTATTTATGCGAAGGAAGGGCTATTCCTAAATCGGAGAATGTAGATACAGGCTTTACCACGGGTCACCTGTGGTCTTTGTATTACGGTCTGCCTGTACCTAATCCGTATGGCTGATTTCTGTCGAAATATGGAGGCGCCAAAAAGTGGATCCCAAGCACAGGGTTTGCCACGGGCAACCTGTGGTGGCACAATAACGGTCTGCCTGTACCTCAACCGTATGGCTTTTTTTTGTCGAAAAATAGTGCCCTTAACAAAGCGGAATCAAGTACAGGATTTGCTACGGTTTCACCTGTGTGAATACCAGTATAGCCTTCCTGTACTCAAAGCGTACTTGGTACGGTCAATGTACAGACATTCCGGGCAAATTGTCTACCAGACTTGTTCCGTACCATTTACCGTGGATTTTTATGACAGTGTAGATTAGAAAAGCACATGCACACATGAAAATCATACAAGGTAGGTTTACGCCAGACCGCGTCTTGTCGTAACAGGCTTCGCGATGTTTCGCTGCCAGTTCCTCCAATCCGCGCCTGGCGTACCTAGTAGGTACTACCTACCTTGGCCTGCGGCGCTAGCCTGCCTTCGGCAGGCAATAGCTTGTCCATCGTCGGTTACTTTTAACTTGTTGCATGCTGGGGGGCTCCGCCTCCAGACCCCCCTTCCTTCTAGGTAGAGTTGCTTCATCTACAGATAGCATGATCTTGACCCTTGTAACCTTTGAACTTATCGAGGCTGGGGGGCTCCGCTCCCCAGACCCCCCCATCTTCAAGACAATAGGCATCCTGCCTGCAGAAAACTCGATTTTTCGCCGTTTTTAGGTGTTTTTCGGCTATTAAAACTGAACCAGTTGAGCTACGATGGTGAGATTTCGCGTGTGCCGAGCCAAGGACATGCCTAAAAAGTGTGCAAAATCTCACCGAGATCGGCCGAGCCGTTCAGGAGGAGTAGTGCGGACAGACACACACACACACACACACAGACAGACAGACAGGAAAAACTTTTCAACCCCACTAGAGTAACAGGCTTCGCTATCGCTCAGCCAAAAAAGTGAATAAGTTTCAACTTACACGTGGTTTAGGCCTCCTCGGTAAGACTCCAGCTCGAGAGCCTGAACCACCCCGATTTCGTCCAGTAGCGTGCGCAGGATGATGTCCTCGAGAAGAGGAAGCAGGAACATGAGACGATGAACCAGAAGCAACAGCAGGCTCATCAGAAACTGACAGAGCAGGAACTGGAGCAGTATGATGTCCTCGAGAAGAGGAAGCAGGAACATGAGCTGTACGATGTCCACGAGACGATGAACCAGGAACATGAGCGGTACGATGTCCTCGAGAAGAGAAACCAGAAGCAACAGCAGGCTCATCAGAAACTGACAGAGCAGGAACTGGAGCAGTATGATGTCCTCGAGAAGAGGAAGCAGGAACATGAGCTGTACGATGTCCACGAGACGATGAACCAGGAACATGGGCAACACGCCCAGGGGCTGGTACATGGGCAACACGCCCAGGGATAGCTCGAGCAGAAGGGGCTGTTGCAACCCCAGCACCTGAAGGGACTTCAGGAACGGCGGGAGCTCCTGCATTAGCAGGGACATGGCGCCCTGTCCCTGAAGTGACTCTTCCACGTTGAGATTTTCTCACACAGGGATCGCCTGCTCCATTGTCGAGAACCTCCCCCTCTTCTGGCTCTTCCTCGGGGATCACGTAGATCTCAGGCTCGGGCCGCTCACGCTCGAACCGGTTGAACCTTGCAGTCGTCTCCTCCTCCTCCTCTTCTTCATTACTCAACTCAACAGCCGCTCCCCTGGCAGGCCCAAGTCTATCCCAAACCGTCTGCAACAGAAGAGCAAAGAACACATGAAATGCTGCAAACGATTTGAACGATTCTACTCATCTTGTAGAAAAACTTATTACTTACTACGGGTCGATGGCGCTCGCGTCGGGCATTCCTTTCGCGCAGCACTCCGAGTGGAACATCCAACTGGAACAGAAAATTACAACTTAGTAGACACTTAGAAAACCTAACCTCTCTATCACAGAAACAGGCACGCGAATCGGGCGGTTTCTTGCAACGACACATTTTCCCTTTCATTCCCACAGACAGACGGTCGATTTCGGCGCAACACTTGTACGTTTCACACAGTCAATGATAAATCTTTGAAAGAAAACAACGAAAATCGCTGCACCGGGTAAACAAGCCGAGGACGGCCATGGCAGCTCGCGTAGGGACAGACTCGGGCCTGCCCGTGACGTCACCACTGCACCCCCATCTCCTCCCTGCCCGGCGCGTCGATTTGAAGTTAACTCCCACACTAACGGGGTTCAAAATTCTCTCATAAGTCAAACCTTTAACGTTCCATTACAATTCCGAGCCGCCGCGTGTTCGCCCAGTGCGAGCAAACAAAGACAACACGCGGAAATGACTGAGATTTCGCGACCCACGCCTCCAGAGGGAAGGACAACATTACTCAGTTTTGAGTATTTCTAACACAATTTTTCGGAATTTCGCACACGAGTACCCTCTCGAAGCGCCCAGAACACGATTCGATCCGAGAACACACTGAATTTACCCTCCGAACATGGCTCAATCTCGGAGACAGCCCGGTTCCCACGCTCACATGGTGGCGTCATCTCGCCGTAATTCAACACTTTAAGACCCTAATTTTTACGAATTTTACACGCGGCCGCCCTCGCGAAGCGTCTCGCACAAGATTGGAACCGAGAGAACGCTGAATTTACTCATACTAACAAGCCGAACAGGCCGAGACTTGCCCGCGCCCCGACCGCATGGCGCGCGAGGACGCCAAGTTGAAATCTCACGATTTTAACACTTCTGACTCAAAAATATTACTTCCACGAAAAGGATTTACTGACGCGAGCACAGAAAGGACGACACACACATAATAAACGAAACGCCGAGAGAGAGAGAGCTCAATGACGCTATCTCACCACGAGGCGGCGACGGTGCAGACCAAACTCTTGACCGCACACACACACATTCACACTCGCTTACCTCAGTGTAAAGAGCATCCGATACTCTGACCTCCAAAACCTCTTCCTCGACATTTGGTGAAGCGCCACTCATCTCTGGATCAGGCACAATGAATGATGTCTCCTCCACCTCGAAATCCGGCGTGAACGTACTTTCGAAATCCATTCTTACGGATGCTGGGGCAACAACTGACTGGACCGGCAGGGGCTGAAGGAGGCAGGAAAGAGAAGCTCCAGACAAAAAAAACCACTTGGTCGGCGACATCCTAGGAGCGGGCGCTTGTGGTGTTTTATCGGTTCCTTCTATGTATACGAACTGCCGAAAGGACACTTGGACGAAATCCGACACCCCCTGTGGCTTTGGTACGGGTCTAAACACCCCAAAAACAGCTGTTTTCGAGGGTTTGGGACTAGATGGGTTCTCGCAAACCGAGATCCAAAAAAGTACCCAAATGGGTCTCAGATACTCAAAAAAATGCGCTCTTTCGAATGCCGTGTCGAACGAGGCTCTACGACGTCGGGTTTGGATGCTACGGGCTCTCAAAGTTGCTCAATTTCACTATTTTTACTGAAGATTTGAGCATATCAGGGCCGTTTGAAGTAGACCATCGGCGATTTCGCTCCTCTTTGTCTTAAATGGTGCCTACCCATAGATAAACACCCCCACAAAATTTCAGCCATGTCAGGCAATTATTAGAGGAACTGTGAACAATTTAAGTTTTGGGTCATTTTACCACTGGGCTTAGGTGTTTTTGGGTCCAGAAAAAATAATTTTTTTAGCTATCTACTTTTGATCAGCACCTCTTGAAACGCCTTTTTAACATGGTGCCTCAAAACGTTTTTCGAGGACAAACTTGTCTTTTTCTAGCTGTAATTAGAACATAACTTGGAGAAAAAGACAAGTTTGTCCTCGAAAAACGTTTTGAGGCACCATGTTAAAAAGGCGTTTCAAGAGGTGCTGATCAAAAGTAGATAGCTAAAAAAATTATTTTTTCTGGACCCAAAAACACCTAAGCCCAGTGGTAAAATGACCCAAAACTTAAATTGTTCACAGTTCCTCTAATAATTGCCTGACATGGCTGAAATTTTGTGGGGGTGTTTATCTATGGGTAGGCACCATTTAAGACAAAGAGGAGCGAAATCGCCGATGGTCTACTTCAAACGGCCCTGATATGCTCAAATCTTCAGTAAAAATAGTGAAATTGAGCAACTTTGAGAGCCCGTAGCATCCAAACCCGACGTCGTAGAGCCTCGTTCGACACGGCATTCGAAAGAGCGCATTTTTTTGAGTATCTGAGACCCATTTGGGTACTTTTTTGGATCTCGGTTTGCGAGAACCCATCTAGTCCCAAACCCTCGAAAACAGCTGTTTTTGGGGTGTTTAGACCCGTACCAAAGCCACAGGGGGTGTCGGATTTCGTCCAAGTGTCCTTTCGGCAGTTCGTATACATAGAAGGAACCGATAAAACACCACAAGCGCCCGCTCCTAGGATGTCGCCGACCAAGTGGTTTTTTTTTGTCTGGAGCTTCTCAAAACTTCCAGCCGTGGCATTTCTACCGTTTCATGCGCGAAATTCTTAACAGGCCCCCGCCAGTACAGAGCATTCCAGCACCCCAAGTAGATACATTCGCTCTCAACTCAGGAGAGGCACCGCCATTCAATGGCAGCACAGGCTACGATGTTTACAGGGCACAGTTTCTAAGTGTCGCAGAACACAAAAACTGGTCAGAACAGGATAGAGGGATTTTCTTACTGCAGGCATTGGAAGGGGAGGCTACCAAGGTCATCAGAACCTTAACTACTCAGAATAGGCCATTGACATTTGTCAATTTGGATGCACAGTTGGAGGACACTTTCCATGTCCAGAGAGAGTTATGGGAGAGGACTCGAGTTTACGAGTCACTTAAGCAAGAAGAGGGACAGACTCTGAGAGCTTACGCTCAGAAAGTTAAGGGGAGGTTCTGGTGAAAATGCTATTTTCTCCTAAATAGGTCCCACTGTGAAAATTTGTTAAAAATTTGATGTCTTATCAAGTATTTATTAAAATTTTTCATTGGGGAGGCACATTCTATGCCCTGAACCCAATCGCAGAGCCATTTTCTCCCATTTAGGCTATAACTTTAAAAATCTTCTTGCGCATACTATTTTGTCGTAAAAGGTTGGCTTAGACACTTTTCACTTCTTCGATTCATTTTTTAAAAATGCCGGCATGCACACCTCAAAATGTCAATTGCATTTTTATTCGCAAGCTTTCTAACCAAGCATTTCACTATAATTGATCAAAAATGTACAAAATAGACAAATTTTAGGGACTTTTCAGCTTAAAAAGTTAATAATTAATAATATAATGGAAGTTTTGAGCTATGCATGCCGGAATCTTTTGAAAATGAATCGAAGAAGTGAAAAATGTCAAGGTCAACCTTTTACGACAAAATAGTATGCGCATGGAGATTTTTTAAGATACAGCCAAAATAGGCTCAAAAAGACTCTTCGACTGGGTTTACAGCCTGGCATGTGCCTTCAAAAGTCAAATTTTAGTCTCCTCAATGAAAAATTTTATCTTCCGAACAAATTATGACTGTGGGATCCATTTGGAAAATGGCAAGATTTTCACCAGAACCTCCCCTTAAGGAAGCTGTGGTTGATTACATGCCAAACAGCAATCAAATTGATAGGGACCAAGCCGGAGTTAAGGCTTTCATCAAGGGGCTAACAGATAGGAAAATGGCAGAGCGCATTTGCTATGCATCAGTCAACTCAGTGGAAGATGCACTTACCCACGTTAATAGAGCGCTGTCTTTGACCTCCGAGACACACAGCAAAAAGGTTTGGAAGGTAGAAGTTGAAGGCTCCGACAGTCAAACTAATGTCAACTATGCAGACCAGGAGTCAGCACCTGCAAAAAGTATAAAAATGAGTAAAGGCAGGGGTAGAGGTAGGAGTAGCTACTCCAGAGGGCAATTTAACAACAACGAACCCCCAGGCCAATGTGAAAGGTCTGCAAAAGTACCACCAGATTTTAATCAAGCAGCCATGTCATGGTGTAATCAGGGCAAAGAGCAGCAACAATAAAAACTTAGATAGGCAGGTGTTTCTAAAGGACTCAAAATTGCCAGTTTTAAATTACGTCTTTACATGCAACTTCACACAAGACATTACTGTGTGGACTGGAGTGGATGGACATTCAGTCTGAAAACCGGACTAACTGTTTGGTATAAGCTTCCAATTGACAAAGCTCACGTAACAAAAAATTTTAATTAATTGTGATTTTATTGACACTTTTGGAGATGTAGTCAACACCAAAACTTAAATGCTGGAACTTGAAAATGACATTCAAGTCTAATGCGAAATAGTAAACTCAGTATATAACGGAAATTTCACAAGTGGAAATTTGTCCTACCCAATGCATGCTCATTAAAGATCTTGCTGGAACCTTTTGTACAGAGGCGGTTTCCACGAAGTTGGAAACTGACCTGGTGGTTGATGAGTCGGAATAGTCCGACGCGTTGCTTGCCATGACGATTAGTGGGAATAGTCGCCGTCCGGAGCTGGAAAAGGAAACTGTCCACTTCTGCTTCACCTCCGGAAACGAAGTGCCTCACAGTAACGTCTCAGGCAAGAGCGGAGGGGGCTGATCATCGCCAGCTTGACAGCCAGCCGGTCATCGCCAGCTTGACGGTCTAGAAACAAAGAACAAACCATGGTAAAAGATTGTGAAATGGGTGCGGGCAACGCACTGAAAGTGAACAAACAAGGGGAATCCAACCACCCGAAAGAGCAGAAGGCAAGATGCATGTTGGTTTGCTAACATTTAAACATTTAAAGTTTTTTAAAAAAATTTGAAGTAAAATATCTGAAAGGTAAGTCACACAACAGGCGTTGTACCGTGTGTGACAGGCATGTATCACTATTAAACCTTGCAGACCATTGTGTCCAAATTCTCAAGTTTACAGAAATAGCATACGTCCTACCACTCCACCCCCCAGTGTGAGGGCCCTTGTTGCAAACCAAGATTACGAGGATAAGTAAAACGAGGAGAGTAGGTAAGAGTCTTGTAATAAAATTTAAAAATGTCGGTGCAGAGCAATCCAATAGCCAATGAGACAAACACCTAAATTTAACTGAATATGAGACCCAAAACTTACACGGTGCAAAAGTTGAATTGCAATACAAACCACTAATTCCAATACAAAATGCGATTACCTGCAGACTTGGATCCCAAAGATCAAAGCTACTGCTTTGCCACCAGAACAGACGGGGGGGTAGAAAAGCTCATTCGCAAACATCACGATGTCTTCACATTTGGTCGATATCCATGGATGAGATTTAGGGTGGATATAGGAAATCATCCACTCATCAAACAGAATGCACGTTCAGTACCCCTGCGATTACAATAAAAGGTTTGTCAGACAACGATGAAATACCTAAAAATTAAAGCAATCAGGCCTAGTAAGTCACCTACAGTGGTAAAAGACATTTACACCAGCACAAACATTAACACCGGCACAAAGCAATTATTGAGTGACTCATACGGAAGTTTAAGCATTGGTAGAATCAGTAAAGCTTTCAATCATTGCCAAGCAAGGTTGCCCTTCCCAATAAAATCAGATCACACAGCCATGCAGTGGTTCAAATTTTTAAAAATCCAACGGGCATATTATAGTAAAATAATTTAAAAAAAAAAAATTATTCTAGTACAGTCATTATAAATTTACTGTTGTGCATACAAAAGGCATTAACTTAAGATGCATAAAAGCAGGCGTTCAGAGAGGCCTTGCAGCCCCCAATCTAAAAGGGTGCACTAAAGCATAAGCTAAGGACGGGACAGCTTACCTCATCAGTTCTACTTCAGGTGAAGATTGACCATTCGAGATGTGTTCACATCAGTTCTAAAGGCTCTAAATAATGGCCCAGTTGTTCGTTCAATTACCCCAAAGGGAAATTCACTTCTCCGTTTGCCAGCCAGACTGAAGAATAGTTCCAGGTCCCAAAAGAGTTCCAGTCCAACGTAAACAAAACTTTCTAGGGTTTTGTCATTACACTGCAAACAACAACAGATTCCACGTTAATAATGCCCACGTTAGTACTGTCACATTTCTGAACAAATTGCGTAGAGATGATTACTCCACAGCACCAAAAAAATTCCAAGTCAGCTTCATTGCTGAAAGCACAACACAGAAACATTCAAAGCCAAGCAAATAACTTCATGTTTTTCTTACCCAATATCCACGGCGGCTTGTCTTTCAATAGGTTGACCCATGATAAAATTTTTGTCCAGGGAAAAGTTTTTTGAACATTCTGGCAAACAACATCGATCTCATAACCACTCTGAAACAAAATAAAACGAATTAGTCAAACTTGTCTTACACGTCTCACGTTCATACATTCAAATGGCAACTTACGTACTTCGGTGAAAAGTCAAGGCAGGTAGATAAATAGAGCGGCACACAGACAGGAAGCACCGAAAGTAGTTTGGCAAATGCCCCAGTCTCAGGCCTTCACAGAATGTATTGCTTGCTCATGCTCACAAATTTATGTAGATCTCCTTCCAGTACTCCTAGACTTCCGCAGGCGACGAGCTCCGTCAGCGCCGCAGAGCAAAAAACCCCAAACCTGTTGGAACAAGAACATTGAATAGTTTCCCAGTCCAACATCGAAAACCCCGACAAGGGCCCATCAATCATCGGCGAAAATGTCCCCCCGGATGCAGATTGTACGCACCAGCAGAAAGAGGAAGTCGACACACTTAACTATCAAAGGAAAAATCACAAGAACTTACCGAAAACCTGGCCCACATCGAACTGCGTATCAAGAAGTTTTCTCGAACGAATTATCACCCAAGAAATACGGACACTGCAACAGAAACATCAAGGTTTTACTCTCTACAAAATAATACATGCGCCCAAACTGTTTCAAAAAGAAGGGAGGAGAAGACTATACGCCGCAGGGAAAAAACTCACTGGAAATGCAAATTTTGAAACAACAGAAAGAGTCCAGCAAAGAGCAATTTGTACGTGAAAAGTGCAAGTTAGAAGACCCAGAAAAGCATTTGAATGAAGGAAGTCATCAAAGGGCAAGGTGAAGCAGCGGATTGGAAGATGAAGTCCTACTATGCACATGTACTGGACTTGTACTTAACAGAGTCAGAACAAGAAGAAATTACACAAGAAATCACCACAGAAACAACCACAACCACCCCAAAAAACCTCACTCGAATCACTACAAAAGGACGAAGAAAAAGTAATTCAAGAAATAGAAGAGCTTCTCACTTCGGGAGAACCCTCACCTTCAACCGTAGCACAGGCTCAACAGCATACTTCAGCAGAAACAGCACAGCATGAACTTCCGGTTTGTGAAACCAACCACAAAATCGGCCAGTGTGACGTCCCCATTCTTCAGCATCCAGGGGGAGGCAGCCTTTAATCACAGCATTACCTGCAACAGTCAAACAGACAAAATAACCTTCACGACATGTTTGTCACCACCAATACTAGAACAAGAACAAAAAAGAGGCAAGAAAACTCTGAAAGTTCAAGGTGCAGAAGGTGCCACCAAAAGAATACACAAGATGCAAGATGTTCAAAGTCAGATGTAAGAAATCACCGACAGCAAGAAGCGTCAACAGGAACAAGAGGATGATTTTCGACTCTGGATCACAGCGAAACAGAAGCCGAAAGGATCTCCAACCCGGTCTCATTCCAGCGGGCACAGCGACAAATAGACCTGAGAACACAACACTGATTATGAGGATTTTTTTTAAGAAGTCCGATCGTGGAACACGACCGATGCCGATTTCCTCCATTTTTTGGTCAAAAATAGTCCTTGTGAGTCTAAGAAAGGCCACAAATTTTTTGGGCCGAAATATGCCCGTTCAGATTCTATGGGCAATTTTCGTTTTCTCTGACAACTTTTCACATAATATGGCCAAAATTGAAAAATCACCTTTCTGAGGCCTCTATGCACTCGATTGAGCTCAAAATGTGGTATCTTATGTAAAAACACGCGAGGAACACGAATCCGGTGCCCGTTTGTTGATAGGACAACCCAAACAGATGTTTGACTGTTTTTCAGGTTTTTTAGTGGTTTTTACTTTTCTTTGGGGGTTTTTGGGGTTCGGCATCGATTTTCGCCAATCCGATGAGTGGATTTTTTAGATAAAGGACCAATCTATCATACTACGAGATAAAAAATTTGTGTACGCCGCGTGAAAAGCAGTGGCGCTGCAAAAAATTTAAAAAACCCTCATTTCTGGGTAGTTTTAGATCAGATAAGCCACCTTTCGCGTGACCGTCTCCGCCCCATATTCAGTCTAAAAATTGTCCCAAGTGATGTCAGAGTTGGGGTGAAATTTCACCGCTGTAGCTCAAGTAGTTTGGAAATGGCAGCTTTCTAAAGTTTTGCAATCACGTAAGGGATTTACTTTAAGTAGAATTGCGGTAAATGTGAAGACTTGTCACAGATCGGGTAATAAATGAGATAGATGAGTGCGTCAAAGTTCTCTAGGGGTAATTTTGGACAAGGAATCCGATTTTGCCGGTACGAAGCCCTAGGTGTACTCTAAAACTACGTTTTGTGCGAACCACATAAAAATGGCCATTTTTTTCCCAAATTCAGAGTTCGCCTAGGGTCTTCGTACCGCAAAATCGGATTCCTTGTCCAAAAATTTCGCTTAAGAACTTTGACGCACTCATCTATCTCATTTATTACCCGATCTGTGACAAGTCTTCACATTTACCGCAATTCTACTTAAAGTAAATGCCTTACGTGATTGCAAAACTTTAGAAAGCTGCCATTTCCAAACTACTTGAGCTACAGCGGTGAAATTTCACACCAACTCTGACATCACTTGGGACAATATTTTAAATGAATATGGGGCGGAGACGGTCACGCGAAAGGTGGCTTATCTGATCTAAAACTACCAAAATGACGGTTTTTTAATTTTTCAGCGCCACTGCTTTTCACGCGGCGTACACAAACTTTTTATCTCGTAGTATGATAGATTGGTCCTTTATCTATAAAATCCACTCATCGGATTGGCGAAAATCGATGCCGAACACCAAAACCCCAAGAAAAGTAAAAACCCTACAAAACCTGAAAAACAGTCATAACATCTGTTTGGGGTTTTCCTATCAACAAACGGGCACCGGATTCGTGTTCCTCGCGTGATTTTACATAAGATACCACATTTTGAGCTCAATCGAGTGCATAGAGGCCTCAGAAAGGTGATTTTTCAATTTGGCCATATTATGTGAAAAGTTGTCAGAGAAAACGAAAATTGCCCATAGAATCTGAACGGTGCTATTTCGGCCCAAAAAATTTGTGGCCTTTCTTAAACCCCCAAGGACTCCTTTGACCAAAAATGGAGGAAATCGGCATCGGTCGTGTTCCACGATCGGACTTCTTAAAAAAATGCCTCTATACAAATGAGGGCTCGACAAAAACCATTCATACTTTAAAAAAGATGCCTCCAAAACGAAAGAGCTAGGTTGCAGCATCACCCACCAAGCAAACAAGTACGGGGTTTGGCCCAGACCACAACAATACTACAGCAAAGCAGGATCGCGAAAACCCTGAAGAAAATAGCTCGACAGCTTCTGCAGCAAGTGTTTAACGAAACGAAATGGTACGAAAAAACAAATTTTACGCCAACATCACACTTCGAACGCGGGGACCACGTTAAATGGAAAATCTTCAATCAAAAAAAAAAAACGAAAGAAACTGCAAGCACAGCACAGCAAAAACACGGTGCACACAGGTCGAGAGTTAAACCCGGGAAATCTTAGTTTGCAAACAGTTGCATGCACCAAAAGCCATCACGTAGAAGGCCCCTAGTACTCACCAACTTCCGCCGACAAGATGTTCGGGATCAGTCGAAACACTGCCGGGCCCGCCTCTCTCAGCGCAAGGGGTATCGCCGCTGCACTGTTTCCCGACGCAAAGAGCATGCACACGCATCGACGACAAATGCGGAACGAGCGACGGACCGGAAACAAACTACTCACGAGCAGAATCTTCGAACACACGACTGTGTTACGAAAGAGGATGCCTCTCAACTGCCAGAACGTCTACAACCAACGTCGCGGGGGCCCTTTTCTGCCCTTTTCAGCTGGGACTTCCCGGTACGAGAGGCTTGACGTCTACCGACGGGAACGAGGCCCACGACAACTCCTGGCCGCACTGCACGAGTTAAGTATTTGAACTAATAAACAGTTAGTTAAGCTTTCTTAGATATCAAGGTGCCTTTAGAATAGGATTAGCTAGATAGTCAGGATGGCATCAGGCAAACCAACCAGACAGAGTAGGGGTTGGATACTTTAAAGCGCAAAACTGTGTAGAGTGTTTTTCTGTTTGTTTCAGTTGGAGCTTCACCAGAACTAACACAAACTTTGGTTGGCCAACAGGCGGAACACCCCAACTTCACGCGGTGTTGCAAACCGTGACGACGGTTGTAACATCCGTTTGGAGCAGATGGAGTCCACCTGGCGTCTCAGATGTTAACGGCCAACTATTCTTTATTTTTCTTTTTTTAACAACAAGCCGACCCGCGGGCTTAGGACTGGACACCCTAACGCCTGGCACCCAGAAGGTGTAATGGGGAAGCGAGCCTTTGTAGCATCACATCAAGACAACGAGCAGCCACCGCCAAACTCAAGAAAGGAGATTCAAGAAAATATCAAATTGGACATTTAATCAGACTTGCCAAAAATTGTTAAATTAAGTGAGAGAGTGGGAAGACAGTTTTAAAAGTTTCAAACCAGAGCAACAAATTTTGAAGTCAGTGCTAAATAGTTCGAAGGATCTAAAAGAAGGGTGCGAGGAAAATTTTGAAGAAACTTCGTTTCTTTTGTTCAGGAGGGAGTGGTGTTATGATATGAAACAATAGAGAACATAACCTAGGCACGGCTTACTTGCAGTCATTCCCTTGTTTTTAACCACTGCCCTAGTGATCCTGGCCAGGACCTCCAACCCTTTCTTCCTTTTGTTCTTCCCCTTAATACCCTGGCCGCTGAATACCATTGGCCATGCACCCCCACTCTCCACTACTATTCTTCCTTATGTTCTTCTGCATCTGTAATATAAGAGCGCGTCGCCAGACGTCCGCTACCATTCTGTACACGGTCACCTACTGATAATACAGAGCCTTCCGTCTCGACGAGACCCCTGACTTCCCTTTTCCCTCCAAGTCCCTTACACTGCTACACTATAACACTATATTACTTAAGGGGAGGTTCTGGTGAAAATGCTATTTTCTCCTAAATAGGTCCCACTGTGAAAATTTGTTAAAAATTTGATGTCTTATCAAGTATTTATTAAAATTTTTCATTTGGGAGGCACATTCTATGCCCTGAATCCAGTCGCAGAGCCTTTTTCTCCCATTTAGGCTATAACTTTAAAAATCTTCTTGCGCATACTATTTTGTCGTAAAAGGTTGGCTTAGACATTTTTCACTTCTTCGATTCATTTTTTGAAAATGCCGGCATGCCCATCTCAAAATGTCAATTGCATTTTTATTTGCAAGCTTTCTAACCAAGCATTTCACTAAAATTGATCAAAAATGTACAAAATAGACAAATTTTAGGGACTTTTCAGCTTAAAAAGCTAATAATTAATATTATAATGGAAGTTTTGAGCTATGCATGCCGGAATCTTTTGAAAATGAGTCGAAGAAGTGAAAAATGTCAAGGTCAACCTTTTACGACAAAATAGTGTGCGCAAGGAGATTTTTTAAGATACAGCCAAAATAGGCTCAAAAAGACTCTTCGACTGGGTTTACAGCCTGGCATGTGCCTTAAAAAGTCAAATTTTAGTCTCCCCAATGAAAAATTTTATATTCCGAACAGATAATGACTGTAGGATCCATTTGGAAAATGGCAAGATTTTCACCAGAACCTCCCCTTAAGTGAGCGATTCTCACGTTACGGGGTAGTTTCGTTTCTTCTGACTCCTGTGCCCAAACGAGCGCAGATATCGACATGGGGTTTGTTTCTGATGTTAGGGAGGGCCATTGCCCACTAAACGCACACATTTCGAAAAGTTCACGTCCGTTGGATTGGTCTACGTAGCGTTTGGAATACCCTAAATGTAACTTCCGTGATTGTCCAAAGAGAACATACTCGAACTTTCCGCCCCCAGTGTGGCGGTGTGGTTCGAAAATGCTGCCAACTGTCGATGGGGATTCGAAGCTTGGCATGTCTCGACCTAATTTCAACCGAAGACCAACACGCCAGACTTCTTTCAAAGGTACTTATGCTGCAACGAAAAATGTCCTCCGTGTATTCAATTTCACTACACTAATTTCGAAAAGGCAGCTCTGGACTTCTCCCCAAGCCAAACTTTTAACTTTCCATGACACAAGCCATCAAAGTGGAGTCCCTGGGATATAATTGCATGGGTCACGGAAATC